GGAAACGTGGTGCTCCTGGTTCAACTGACACTTTTAAATCAGTAGATGCTCATCAACTCTTGACATAAACTTGGATTTAGTTCATCATTCATTTTTCCAAAAATTGTTTATTTCTCAAGGAACTACATGACCCAGGCCTCTGGTTTGTTCTAGCAACGGAGAGGAATAAGGCCCACCGGCTCCTGAGTCCCTCCAGGTCTGTGTCATGTCCACACAGGCCGACTGAGGACTGGCCGCTCTAACGTGGGGAAGTCAGGCCTCACATAGGATCTGGAGTCCTAGGAAAGGCCAAATCCTGCAGCAGTGAGATCGCTGTGAAGTTCCCTGGAACAGACGCTCTCGGCCCTGTAGCCACTGGGCTTACAGACTGACTCTGTGCCTTGCAGCCTGGGGCCCTGGAAGTGGAGATGCACAGTGGCTCTCTGCTCCGCTGGCTACCTGCCCCCTGCTGCTCCCAGGAGCCCCTGCTGCGGAGCCTCTTGTCCCCACTGGAGCTCCCAAGGATCCTAACTGCCGTCCTGCGTTTCTCTGTCTAGGGAGAAGACAGCCACCATGGAGAGGAAGTGTGGGCTGCGTCCTTCCTTCCTGTCCTTGTCTTGACCTGCCCCTGTCTGTGCAGGACACCATCTACGGGCTCACCTGCTCTTACTCTCCTGAGTGGGACTAATGTTGCCCACCAGTTCATCTCTTGAAACTCTGCAGGTCGTCCTTGGCCCATCCTGGACTTGTCCCTCCTTTGCACATGAGGCCCTGGGAAATCCCTGACCCAGGGCCCAGCGTCCCTTCCCCGCCTGAGGAACACGTGGCTCTGAGCCCTTTGTGGGTCTTGTGTGTTAGATATGCGGCCCCCTCCTAGTCATCAGAGTCCTCTGTGACAGCCTGTGACATGGCCCCCTCCATCCTCCTTTCCTGGAGTTCTTGGCTGGACACTTTCCCAAGAAATGCCTCCAAAAGGCCACTGGGGAGCAGCCCGGGGGGATGGGTCACACACCAGACATCCTCACCTGGCAGACAATGAGCACACACAGCCCAGAGTGGCCTGAGGTTTCTGTGGCTATTCTAGGAAGAAGCACAAAGCAAGGAGGAGCCGTGGTCTTGCTGTCCAGGCTGTGGGGAGCTGAGCCACGGGCTGAGGTGACAAGGCAGAGAGCTCATCAGGGCCATGGGAGAGAGGAGGAGGCAGGGAGGGCCTGGAGCAGGAAGGGCTGGGGGCCTGGGCAGGGCCATGGGGGTGGGAAGCAGGAGGGAGATGGATGGGCCTTAGAGGCCTCTGAGGGAGGCAGGGAGACCGGAAGGACTTGATGTGTGACTTGGCACCTTGTGGCCCTTGTTTTCAAAGCATCTCTGTGACTCCTGGGCTGAGAACGGAGTTGGGGGTAGGCGAAGTCCTAAGCTGCCTAGGCTCAAGAAGCTGCATGGGGTCTAAACAGGCACACCTAGGAGGATTGGTGCCGGTGCCCCTGGAGTGAGGAGCTGGCCCACAGCAGATTCCTACCCGGGAGTGAACGTGTGCATGGCCGCAGTGACTCTCAGAGATGTTCCCCACACTGTGCAGAGGCAGAACCGTCACAGCCTCCATGTCTATTTACAATGCAAGGAGTCAGAGCTGCTGTCCATCAGGCAGGGTTCCCCCTGGGCAGTGCAACTCGGAGCTGCACTCCCCAGCCCGGCTCTTCCCATCTGCCCTCCCGCTGGGGACAGCAGCCTGCACCTTCGGGTGGGTGGGGCCGGAGGTTTGTGGCTACCCTGCGTCCTGTGGTCTTTACTCCTTTAAATGAACTCTGGCTTTATCTTCTGGGCTTGTAGTGCCTGGTCTATATGTTCTCTGGGATTCTTTGTGTAAATTCTAGACGAGGGGTGGCCTGGGACCCATGGGGTTTCTTTCCTTCTAGGTCTTAGATGACAAAGGTTTCACGTGGGACACTCATGGCTGGTGGTGTTGAGGCCTGTCACACTCACCTCTGAGTGCCATAGGAATATGCTCTCTGCTGCCCAGGGCATGGGGCCAGGTGAAGTGGATTCAATCCTCAGCCAGTCCAGGACACAGGGCAAGGCCGGTCCCTCTCTGACCTGTTTTGTCCCATTTTCCAGATCTCTCCACTTCCTCAGGGGCTGAAATCCCCACTTGTTTTGCTTTTGACATCCAGGAGAACAATATAAGCACTGTGTTCCGACACACATCCACAGGAGTGGACAGACACAGCTCATGTGCTCCTTCAACAAGCACAGTGACGAGGGACGGTGCTTAGTCCCAGGGCTGAGAGTCTGCAGGCATCTGCAGGACAGCGGGTCCCCAAGCAGACGTCCCCCAGGGGGAATCGGCCCCTCAGAGTCCCCCAGTGGGGGCTCTGGATAACCCCCTGCATTAAGAACAGGTGACCCTTTCCCTGCGAGGCCATCTTACCTCCCTCCTACTTCTTAGCTCTGCACAGTCTTGACTGTGGCTCTGACAACCTGCCCATGGATCAGCCAGGCTGCTGTCCAGGGGAAACGCATGGACACTGAGCTCTGAATTCCACCTGGTTGTCAATGCTGTCCTCGTTGCACAAGAGCCACATGGGTGCCCTGGGGTTCCATGGCAGCCAAGTTTGCCAACCATGTTCCAGGGAGAAGTGATGGAAGCAGAGGGGACTGGCTTGGGGATGAGACTGAGGATGAGACTGAGGACGTGCCAACACTCAGCTTCCTCACTCTGAAAGTAAGGATGATGACAGTAAGGACGTCACAGGGTGGCTGTGGGGTCAAGTGGCCTGGGCTTTCCTGTTGGCAGGTGTTGGGTGCAACCGCTGCCCTCAGGACCATGGCTGCCCCTTGGCCTCCCAGAGTCAAGTGCCCAACTAGCCATTCTGAGATCACCCTGTTGGTCCAGCAACGGGCGGACGGCACAGGGGAGAGGAGCGAGGAGGAGCCAGGCGGGGGGAGAAGAAATGTGCTATCCTGTCCACTGAAACTTTGACTCCAGCCACACATAAAGCAGCTCCTGCATTAGGACGTCAAGTCCAGAGGAGCATCATCCTGGTGTCTGAATAAAATACTGCTGCTGAGCATCACAGTGCCAGGGGCCACGGGGTTCCTGCAGCCCGGCTCCCCTTCCTCCCTTAGCCCCCCAGGATGCCTGGGTCTCCCACGCACAGAAGGCTGACGAGCACCCTGCAGGCCAGCAGGTGCCCTGCCCACTCTACAGCCACAGATCCATCCTCTAGAGCAGTGGGCAGCCTGAGCCATACACCCTGACCTCACAGGGCAGGTGGAAGGTCCAGGAAGGAGAGTCAGACAATGAATAGATAAATGCGAAGATGCACAGGTGCACCCGGGAAGAAACAGGCCAACAGCAGGCACCTGAGCAGGTGGGTGGAGGCACAGCACGCAGCATCCCTGAGGTGTGCACGTGGCACTCAGGAGGGGCCAGCTGAGAGGGGGACTGAGGTAGCAGGTCGCCCACACACCTCGGGGAGAGGCCAGGCAGAGGCTGGAGGGGTGCCCATCCTGTGGAGCAATGTGAAGATGGCAGCACAGCAGGAAAGAGAGACAGGAGGGGCGAGGTGGGAGTGAGGCCCAGCAGCAGGCAGCGTGCAGCCCCCGTGGGCTTAGCCTGGGCTGTGGGCACTGGGCTTCTCCACAGAGGTGGGAGGGAAGCAGGGAGGAGATCTGAGCTGAGGAGCATCATGACTGATTTGCACTTTGCACCCTGGCTGCTGCATTCACAGTGGCTGTGGAGAGGACACAGGTGGGCAAGGAAGGCCCAGGAGGCCAGCAAGGAGGCCATCACCTTGATCTACGGGAGATGTGGTGCCCTGGACTGGGGAAGGAGGGTTGGATCCTAGATGTATTTTAAAGCATGAACAACAGGACTTGCTGAGGGATTGAACATGAGAGAAAGAGAAATCGAGGATGAACCAGGATATTGGCCAGAGCATCTGGAAGGAGCTACCACCTCTCGACGAGAAGAAGATTCCAGAACATGTGGGTGGTAGTGGTGGATCATGGAAGGCCTCCCAGGGTCTTGCTTTTTCCTACACCCTTGACTTCTTGCCGAGCTTGTAACGACAGGATTGTGCCTCTGGTTTTGTGGTCCTAACATCTAGCCAGGGCCCAGCACCTGGTGTGGACTCAGCTTGCGTTTGCCGACTGCTTTCCAGGGGGGACAGGAGCTCCCTCCCTGGCCGCCCCCTGCCATGCAGAGAGGTGAGGTTCCTCCCGTTCAGAGGAGCGGGGCTGCCTACTGTGGGGCTGCTGGTGGGGGCCTGGCTCCCTGTGCTTTGGGGTGCTCACTCCAAGGAGGTGATACTGCTTTGGTCAGCCAGCTGGGCTCTGGACTGGGCAGTGGTAGCTCCACAAATCCATTTTCCTCTGCTGCCTGGAAGCCTGCTACAAGGTTCCCGGCAGAGCCAGACTGAGTCCCCCGCCTCATCCATCTCCCTGTGCCTTTATCTTGAATCACTTGTGCATTTAATTTAAAAAGAGAAAGGAGGCTGCGAGGAAGGAAGGGATCAATGGAATTTAAAGGAGGGGTGAGGGCCGCCCCTCCCCATCTCTCACTCTCTCGGGTAGATACTTGTGGGTTGGGCAAGGAACCGGGAACAGAGGGAGTTCCTCGTCTCCCTTGGCCAGTGTTGCAAACCAGAGCTGGGTGAAATTGCGGACTTACATCTCCATTGACTTCACTCAAATGCTCGGCTGTAAGTTCATTCTGGGCTGCGGGCCATCAGTCCAGCCCCTGGGCTCCTCCTTCCTGCCCCTTGCAGCCCTGATGCATCCACCAAGAGGGAAGTGGTCCCTGCATCCCACCACTACACCCCCAGGGGCTGGGAAGAGACCCAAAGCACTTGGAAAACAGAAAGGGTCAGGAGGGAGCCTGGCCCAGAGGTGACCTCCAGGGCAGCCTTGATCCTTCTCTGTGTGAGGCCGGGGAAGATCCCCGGATGTGAGGGGCAGGATTCCCAGAGGTGATGGGAGGCCCCAGCGGGTGGGCCAAGCTGCTGGGACAGGGGGCAACTCGCCTTGAGCACGTCTTCATCGGACGACCTGCACTCCACCGACTCCAGCAGCCCCGTCACGGTGCCGTCCTCCTCCACGGAGACCACCTTCACGGGGACGGCCACCGTCTTCCCAGTGAGGATGGCTGTGTTGAGGATCTCCGCCTCCTGGAAGAGGAAACACAGAGCTGTCACCCTGGCTCCCGCGTGGCCCAGCCCTCACCTGCGCTCGCGGCCACTGACCAGCCCTCCACCCAAGTTCAGCACTCCTGTTGCAGCACCAGCCCAGGGCCGAGGTGGCCAAGGGACCATTTCTGTCCTCCCCTGGATTTCTGCAGGGAGGACATGGCAGGGAAGGAGTGTGGAGTCAGTCAAGTTAACAGGGCAAACACTTCTCAAATCTCACCAGGCACCAGGTTTCCATGCTTTACAAAGGCCCACCCTGCAGTTATCCCAGCATCCTGTTTTATAACTAGCACAGAGAAGTTTTGTAACTCACCCCAAACCACACAGCTAGAGAATAATGAAGGTGGAATTTGAACCCAGGAATTTGGGCTCCTGAGTGGACGCATTAGAGAGCCCATTATAGATGTCTGAACTTGAACACAGAGGTTCCGACTTGAGCTCTCCACTATCAGCCAGAGGCTAGGTGAGGGGGTCCGGAGCCTAGAGACTGATGCCACCTCACACACACAGGAGTCTGACACTCCGGCTTCCTTCACTTTCTGCAGTTTTCCACACTTGGGGTCCTGGCCTCTGTCATGGCTACAGGGACACCCCCACAGGGACACATACCCTCTCATGGGCATGCGTTTTGTCCTCGAGCTCTCCCTTCAGGGTGAGCCATGCTCAGGGCTGCCCACTGCCCAGATGCTTGCTTTCAGAGCTGGAACACCGCGACCCCTCCCCCTGGTGCAGCCTGCCCGCTGCTGTCCAACTCCAAAGCGTTGAGTCCCCTCATCTCTCCAGGAGGCTGGGCTCCCGGGTGGCTATCTCTGCTCTCACAGGGGGCCTGAGTGCCCAGGGCTCTCCTAGGGCTCCAAGGTGAGCACTTGGCCTTCCCCTCCTCGTGGCCTGTGGATGCCCCAGGCCCTGGGGCGTCCATCTCCACCTCCCTCCCCAAGACCAGGGAGTACACTCCCACCTTCTCTCACACACAGATCCAGGACCCAATGTCCCCCAAATCTCTGTGCTGCCACCGCCTCCAAGCCCTTCCCCCGACGTCAGTCCCAGCTCAACGGTATCCCCAAGTGGCCTCCACCAACACACACACACACAGCTGCTCTCCTGTGACTCTGCATCTGCCTGGCCCTTGTACAGTGGCCGCAGAATGTCAGCATGTAGTGTGGGCTGGCCAGGGAGCCCCAAGGGGTTAGAGCTGACCTTCTTCAAGGCTATCTGGTTAGTCTACCCCTGCTCTAGGCAGAGCTGCAGAGGCTGGGCCTGCAGAGTCCCGGGCATCCCATCTCCTGTGAACCCGAGAGCTTGTGGGGAGCAGCCTGCAGGTTGAATGGCTCATCACACTGGGCTGACATCACAGTGCCCTTCTGTCGACTTTCTGTTTCTTTTGATTTTAACTGTAAGAGACTGGGCTCCAATTGGAGCACTCCTGAGTTTCAGAGACAGCCTCAGCTGAATATGCGTAGGCCCCCTGGCCCCCTGGCCCCCTGGCTCCAGGCCCCCTGGCCCCATCCAACGCCACACTTTCTGCTTCCCCTCCTAAATTCCTAGTGTGATTTTATTTTATTTTGGGTAAAACCTGTAAAAAATGATGGGCAAACTCCAAATATAATGCTCCTTTCTGCTGCCTCTGGGAGGGGAAAGCCCCCTGTACTTTTTCCACTCCAAGGGGACAGAGTGGAAGAAGCTGGGGATCTGGCCAGCTGACTTTGTGTCCCTGCCAACACCAGGCACACCCTGAACCCAGGAGATAGGAGTGCAGATCCTACAGCACACACTCCATCCTTCCTGCCCGCAAGCCGCCATGCTCCGGGTCACTGCAGGGCTGTCTGTGTGCCCCGTGGCATTCCTGGGTCTCTGGCAACACCACAACATGACTCTGGGCTCCTGAGAGGCTATAGAACAGCATAGGAGGGATGGAGTGCATCCCTGAGGTGGGTCTGGGCCCTACAGAGAAGCCATGTGCACTTTTCTCGAGTCTAACACAGGATTGTCTAGCACAGAGAGAGAGCACCTCTCCCAATTTTGCTGGGGTAACAATGGCCCATGTCTAGTGTGGTCCCCTGGAAACAGATCCTAGGAAGAGGCCCCAGAGCAATTCATCTGAGGGGTTCGGGGAACTTCAGGAGCCGGTGGTGGGAATGTAGGAAGCAGAGGCAGCCAATTTACCACTGGCCAGGTGCTCAGTCCTGCAGTCCCGCAGAAAGTGACGTACACCATGAAATATGTTACTTTCTCTGTGTATATAAATGCACGCACCTTTCGATGCACTGAGGTCTAATAGAATTCCCCGGCAGGTAAATGTTATAAAATACTCTCCTAGGAGCACTTCCACTGTGGCTGTTTACTGGGGAGCCGAGGTATCGATTCACCAACTCCAGGAGCGGCTCGGGGATGGCCACCTGCGCCCAGCCTGCTGTGTGAGGGTGAAGCCCACGGCTCCTGTTTCAGATAACACCGCAGATGGAGGGTGACTCTCAGGATGGGGAGGAGCTCTCTGTCCTGATGGGGGGTGGGGAGCGCCCAGGGCACCGCAGACTCTGCTTCCACACAGGGTGGAGCAGCTCATCACATAGCTGTCTGACAGAGAGGAACCCAGTCAGAGCGTCAGCTCGTTTTGTGTTAATTTCCTTGTGTGTCTGGTGTCCTGGCTCTCCACGTCAAGTACCAGCACTGTCATTTATGTATGTTCACCCTTAAAACTAATTTTAAACAGAGCAGAGGGCTGGGGTTGTGGCTCGGTGGTACAGCACTCGCCTAGCATGCATGAGGCACTGGGTTTGATCTTCAGCACCACATAGAAATAAAATAAAGATATTGTGTCCACCTAAAATTAAAAAAGAAATATTAAAAAAATCTCTTCCTTAAAAGAAAAAGACAAGAGAAAAAGCATGGAGAGAGAGAAGCACATTGGAGGGACGTCTTCAGTCCTGGAGAGCTTGCTGTTCATGCTCTGCAGCTTGGGTGTCCAGTGCTCCAAGGCCCAGGTGCTGAAGGCTTGGCCCTCAGGGTGGTGCTATTGGGAGGTAGTGGGATTTAAGAGGCGGGGCCTGGAGGGAGTCTTTAGGCCATTGGGGGTGTGTCCTGGAAGGATGTGTCCTGGAACCCTGGCTCCTTCCTCTTTCTCTTTTTGCTTCCTGGTTGTGAGATGAGCAGAGGCTTTGCTCCTTCATGTGATTCACCAAGATGTGTTGCCTCCCCACAGGCCCAGAGAAGCAGGGTCAACTCCTCGTAGACTGGAACCTCCAAACCTGGGAAGCAAAGTGGACCTTTCCTCTTCACGTGTTGATGCCCTGGGGTGTTTTGTTATAGTGACGGAAAGTGACTGACATAGTGCAGAGATGGCTAGCTGCTGTGTAGTGGCCATTCTGCTCACTTCCTGCCTGATATCTTGGCAGGAAGATGCCCAGACGTGACTTTCAGCAGCCTCTGCCTGTGACATGGTTCTGGCTTATGAGACATAAAGGAAGTCCCTTGGTGAGCTGCCAGAAACAGAAAGAAACCCAGCTGGCTCTGGAGGTTGTCTTCCCTGCTGCTATGCACTGGCACAGGGCGGGCTGGTGACAGGCTGGTGACAGCCACAGGTGACAGGGTGGGAGAGCCCAGGTCCAGTGCAGGGTAGAGGTGAGACTAGGCGCCTGTCTTGGGACTTTCTGGCTGTGAGTCCCTGCTCTGACACAGCCACTGGGTGACACTGGGCGAGGGACCCTCTTGGTGCCTAAGCCCTGCAGCTCTAACATGAGGACAATGACAGTCTGCCTCGTAGGCTTGCCCCAGGAGTTAGCATGAGAATGGTACCTGGCACTGTCCCAAAGTTTGACACATAAATCAACGTGAATGATGACCATGTGGGTGGACCACAAAGCTCATGTGCACTTGGACCTTGGAAGGTGACCTTGAATGGACAGAGGGTCCTTGTGGATCAAATCGGTCAAGAGGAGCTCCTACTGCATCGGCGAGGGTCTGACCCAACAACTTAGATAGGAAGCACAAGAGGCCACTCGTGGATGGAGGGCGGCCGAGGTTTGGGGCTGTAGTTGAGGAAGGTCAAGGACCGTCCACAACCAGCGGAAGCTGGAGGAGGCAGGAAGGAGCTCCCGAGGCGTCAGAGGGGGCACAGCCTTGAAGATACCTTGATTTCCAGCCTCTGTCCTCTAGACCTGCCATGGGGACATTTCTGCTAAGCCACCAAGCTGGGGAGCTTCGTTATGATGACCCTCGGGAAACTGAGGCAGAGGGCCCCGGGTGCAGGAACCTGGGCACGGGATGCCTTGTCACATGACTTGACCTATTTCCCACGGGCTCTGCAGACTCCAGGTCTTCCCACTGTCACTGCTGCTTTGTGCTTCACTGACCTACAGACACTCAACAGTCTCCCACCTCTAGCTGCAGCGACCAAAAAAGGAAGCTGTCCTTGGTCCCCACCAGGCCTGGCTCATGTGAACAAATCGGGTCACCTCACTCTTCCTACTAAGAAAGCCGCCAGAGGATTTTCTCCCTTCCTTTCCTCTCCTTTCTTCTGGCCTCCAGTGTCACCATAGCTATTCTGGAGGTGGCCTGCCATTTTGAGCCTGGGCTCTGAATTGACCTGTACATGTTAGTGTAGAAAATAAGGTCTCAAAAATGAACAAAAGAGCAGTTGTTCCTCCAGAGGTCACCTTCGAGCACCCCGCTAAGGGTGGGCAGGCATTCCCGGGAGCCAGTGAGAGGGTGCACGGCCACTGCCCTTCTTCCTGGCCACGTGGGAAGCCTGGCCCAGCCCGCAGCCGCCTCCTGAGCCTGAGCTGCAGTTCTCATCACCCAAGTCTGCAGAGACAAAACTGAGAATGGGCGCTTTGAGGAGACGGACCTCAAGTGACCTGGCATAGGCAACTGTGCTCGGAGGAGGTATGCCAAGGGGCGCTTTCCAGAGGGGGTGCTGGAGAGCCCCTGGAGAGTGGGGTCAGCCCTGAACAAGCAGAACTTTAGTTCTGAATTGAGAAGAATTT